ACAACTCGTGGACTATGGCCTTAGTATCAGTCACGTTCCTCTTCGTTGTGACAATACTAGCGCCATTAGCTTGACGAAGAATCCCGTTCTTCATTCAAGAACGAAACACATTGACATTAGGCACCATTTCATTAGGGATCATGTTCTCAAAGGTGATGTCGAAATTGAGTTCGTTGAAACACACAACCAATTAGCCGACATTTTCACAAAACCTTTAGAGAAAGAGTCGTTCTTCAAAAGAAAATTTCTACAAAAATTATATAATATCAGCTTTTCTCTCTAGCCATGTCGCGGCGACGAGGAAGGCCAATGAAGAAGATAACTCCGAGCAATACCCCTGCAACAGGGCAAAAATTCCCTGATGTCGGGAATTCGAAGAATAACGATCAATCGAATGGAGCGAAAGATGAGGAGATCTCGAGCCCAAACCCTGGAGAGAATGATGGTGAAGATCTGGTTACACCACTGGTAGATGCAGACGCACCTGAGCAAAAGAAATCTGGGCCCCACACCTATGCTGAAGCTGTGGCAGGGATTGCAGACATGGAAACAAATCTTCAATTCATTCCTGCAGTTGAGGTAAACGGAACATTGGTTGCTCAATTTACTACAGAAGATGTGATTGAACCCACAGATTATTGGAAATCTACTGTTGTTTGCTGTGTGTTGGGGGCTAATCCCCCTCTTGAGGTCTTTAAAGGCTTTGTCAACCGACTTTGGAAACCTTATCCAATAGATGCTGTTGATGTTCTAAAGGAAGGGCAGTTTATTATCTCTTTCACTAAGGAGGAAGATATGAAGGAAATAATAAAAAGGAAATACTACTATTTTGATAATAAGCCAGTCCTAGTACAACAATGGAAGCCAGGGAAAAAAGTAGTTATTGAGGATCTGTCTGACATCCCAATATGGGTTCAATTACCTGATCTGGATCTGAAATACTGGAGCTTATCTGGGCTGAGCAAACTGGGCAGCTTGATTGGCACACCAATCAAAAGAGACAGGGCTACTGCAAAGAAATCTAAGTATGCATATGCCAGAATTCAAGTGGAAGTCAGAGTTCATCAGAATTTCCCCAATGAGGTGGTCTTTATTGATGAAACTGGTAGAGCAATTTCCCAGAAGATTGAATATGAATGGTATCCTTGCATCTGCTCTCACTGTAACAGGATGGGGCATCTACAGGATTCCTGTAGGAGAAAGGAACCCAGGAAGAAGGATGCCAAGCCTAGGCGGATGATGTGGAAGCCAAAATCCAAAGATATCCCTGACCAGGAAAATAAAGAGGAAAATAGGGAGGATGAAAAAGTTGAAGAGAACCCAATAATGCAAACACCAGAGGAAGGGGGTTTGGTTAATGATGAACCAAGTTTGGATGAAGGATTCACAGAAGTTAGTGGAAAGAAAGCTGCCAGGAAGATTGGGGACTTTATGAGCAGTTTCATGAAAATTTTAGAGAAAGCCTCTTATGAGGGGCACCTCCCCTTCCTTAAATGATTGGGTGCTGGAATATAAGAGGACTTAATAGTCCTAATAAGCAAGATGAAGTTATGTTTTTCTTGAAAAATAATAATATTGATCTGTGTGGACTCTTGGAAACCAAAATTAGGGAGGGTAAATTTGAGAGCATAGAAAAGAAGATTTGTCAAGGATGGATGTCTTTTATTAATAATTCTGCCCATCCATTGGGTAGAATTTGGGTACTTTGGAAACCTAACAAAATAAATATTATCATCAAGAAATGGTCTGATCAATGGGTCCATTGTTTGGGTAGAAGGCTGGATGAACATGAGGAGTTTTTCGTTACCTTTGTGTATGGGCATAATGAGGGAGCTAGAAGGGTAGATCTATGGAATGATCTAGGTACTATTGCTTCAACCTGCGATAAACCATGGTGTATCATAGGTGACTTTAACAGTGTGTTGGAGCTGGATGATAGGATTGGTGGGAATCCAGTAACTAGTGAAGAAACTTCAGATTTCAAGAATTGTGTTCAAAATTGTGGCTTGGAAGAAATTCCCAGTGAAGGTTCCAAATATACCTGGTCTAATAGACAAGGTCCTGGTAAGAGAATCTACTCAAAGATTGACAGGGCACTTGCTAACATTGACTGGTTCAACTGTTTTAACACAAAAATCTTGATAAAGGAAGAAGGGCTGTCAGACCACTCCCCACTCCTCATGAGGGAAATTCACTCTGGAAAGGGTAACTTCCCCTTTAAATTCTGCAATATGTGGCTCTTAGATCCTATCTTTCCTACACTAATTAAGACTGTTTGGCAACAAAGGAGGGAGGGGAGATATATGCATCAGTTAGTCTGCAAACTAAAGGACCTGAAACCAGATTTGAGGAGATTGAACAAGGATAAATTCTCACACATTTATCAGCAATGCAATCTACTAAGGGAACAACTTTTCCAGATCCAAGAGGCTATCAAGGGGAATGCAGGGAGTGATCTGATTACTAAAGAACTGGAAACTATCAAAGAATTGAACTGGAGGTTGAAGGCTGCCAGACTAATGAAGCTCCAGCAAGTTAAACAAGAATGGGTCCAAGAGGGGGACACAGATTCCAGATTATTTCATGCTTGGGTTAAAAAAAGGAGACTCAAAAATCATATTAGCTTTATCCACAACTCATCAGGACAAGTGGTTGAAAAGAAATCTGAAATTGCACAAGTAGTGGTGGACTACTTCCAGAAAATGATTGGGGTTACTGAGTGGACAAAGGATATTCAAAATAACATTATTGGGGAGGGGAGAGTCCTGTCAGTGGAACAACAAATCCAACTCATAGCACCTATTTCAGCTGAAGATGTAAAGAAGCATTTATTTGACATCCCTCCATGTAAAAGTCTTGGGCCTGATGGCTTTAATAGTGGCTTCTTTAAGCACCAATGGCACCTGGTTGGAGACCTTGTTACTAAAGCTGTATTGGAATTTTTTAAGGATGGTGTAACCCTCCAGCAAATTAACCATACCAATATCTGCCTAATCCCTAAGGTTGACAGTCCTACTTGCCCTAGTGATTTTAGGCCTATTGCTTGTTGTAATGTGATTTACAAGGTTATATCCAAAATTTTATGCAGCAGATTAAAGGTGGTACTTCCTCACATTATCAACCCTAATCAGGGGGCTTTTATAGAAGGAAGGGAATTAGTTCATAATGTCCTGTTGTGTCATGAGCTGGCCAGAGGCTACAACAGGAAAGGTATTAGTCCCAGATGCTTGATGAAATTAGATATTAGAAAGGCCTATGACTCAGTTAGCTGGAAAAGCATCTTTCAAATTATGGAGGGCTTGAATTTTCCAAAGAAGTTCATTGATTGGACCCACTACTGTGTCACTACAGCAGCCTACTCAGTGCAAATGGATGGAGAGATGTTTGGATACTTCAAGGGTGGAAAAGGTATCAGGCAGGGAGACCGAATCTCCCCCCTCCTTTTTACCCTTATCATGGAATACCTCACCATAATTTTCTCCTACAATTGCAGGAATGATAATTTCAAATTCCACCCCAGGTGTAAATCTCTTAAACTTGTCAATATTGTTTTTGCTGATGATTTGATTGTGGCTTGCAAGGCTGAACCTCAGTCTATTGAGTGTATTCTGGCTAGCCTTAAGGAATTTAAGGAAACAACTGGCCTGATGCTTAATTATGACAAGTCTCAAGTGTACTTAGGGGGAGTTTCTGAGGATGAGAGTCAAAGTATAATTGAGAGAACAAATATGTCTAGAGGGACCTTTCCCTTTAGATATCTGGGAGGGCCTATCTCTGCAGCTCGTATTAGTGAAAGGGAATGTGACAAACTTGTTGAGAAACTCACTACGCAGATTACATCCTGGACCACTAAGCACCTATCCTATGCAGGAAGAGCTAGATTGATAAACACTGTTCTATATGGGGTTATCTTTTTCTGGTGCAGAATTTTCCTTCTCCCTGATAATGTTATGAAGAAGATAATGGCTTTATGTAGGAACTTCCTTTGGAGCTCTACCCCTGATTATAAAAAATGTCCCCTCGTTAGTTGGGATGAAGTCTGTTTGCCTAAACAAGAAGGTGGACTAGGTCTGAAAAATTTGCTGAAATGGAACCAGGCATGTCTCATGAAGCTCTTATGGGATATTGCCAATAAAAAAGATACCCTATGGGTTAAATGGATCCACAATAAGTATCTTAAGGGATCATCTGTGTGGGACTACACTACTAAACCCGATGACTGTTATTACTGGAAGAAGTTGGTTCAAACAAGGTGCCTGTTTATGGGAATGAATATGACCAGCTGCTACACTGTCAAGGAGGGATATAGTTGGCTTGTAGGCAGCAACCCAAAAGTGGAGTGGTTTGATATGGTTTGGAACAAATGGACTATACCTAAACACTGCTTCATAACTTGGCTTATATGGAGAGGTAGATTACTCACCAAGGATCGTTTAAGCAGATTCATCAATCTGGATACTACTTGTGGTCTTTGCAACAATGGAGTGGAATCAGTCGATCATCTCTTCTGCTCCTGTGCTTTGGCTCGACTGATCTTGGAGGACATTTCTCAATGGATACATGTTGATATCACAGTTGGGTCGATTAGAGAACTGGGAAGTAGAGTGGGGAAAGGAAAGAACAGAAAGAGTCGAAGAACTATAGCTACTTGTATTGCTGCGAGTTGCTACTTCATCTGGAAAGCTAGGAATGACAAACTTCACAATAATAGGGAAGCTGCCAAGGAGCACATTGTACAAGGAATTAAAGCTGCAGTTACCATGGCAATAGGACACAAAGTTAACATCAATTCTGTTGCCTTATAATTTGTCTTTTGGATATTCTTTGATTAGGTAGTTTTGAGTTGAAATTTAGAGGGGACCTGATTTGTAATGTTTGGTTGGTATTAATATAATGTGCTTTCGTTCAAAAAAAGAGTCGTTCTTCCGCATTCGTAGTGAACTCGGAATCCTTGACTCCACGATGATCTAATTTGTGCATTTTATCATTCTTTTATTGTTACTGGAACGTTTACTAACTTGAGCGTCGGAGGGTTTTCTAACTCTTTTTTGCAGGGACGGTTCGAAGTGAAGAATTCTGGAAATCAGGGGGAACCAGCGATGGGTAGGCCATACCATCGCTGGGAGGGAAGTTTCTTTTTTCCAGAACCCCTCTTCCCATCGATGGGTGCTTCTTCCCATCGATCGGTAATTGACTCTATTTTTTTAAAAATACTTAACAGATTTCCAGAACACCCTAACCCATCGATGGGTACTTTGTCCCATCGCTGGGTGAAGGACTTTTATCAAATTTTTTTTTTCAGAACCTCCCATCCTACCATTGATGGGTGTTTGACACTTCTTTTTTAAAATCGTTTTAACGGATTTCCAGTAGCCACCCTCCCATCGATGGGTGAGTTTGACCATCGATGGGAAGGCAGCCCTGTTTTCTTCTCGCTTTCCAGTAGCGCCCTTCCCATCGATGGGAAGATCTACCCATCGCTGGGAAGGCTGAAAAAATTCAAAATTTCTAAACCGTTGAAGACATCATTTAAGGCCCAACAGCTATTTTTTTCAAATTCAAACGGAAATCCACCCTCTCCCTATATATTTGCTTCACCCTTGGTCATTTTAACACACCTTTTTCACATCAAAATCCCCTCTTTTACATAATTCTTCAATTTTTTCTTTTTTTTTTGTTTCAATCATGGCCGGAGGAAAGAAGACAAAGGTTTCGAAGAAGAAGGTCACCACCGAGGCTACGTCATCTGCGCCTCAACCCTTCCCTTATCTCGACGGTTCCTTCTTGGAGTTCGGGTCAGAAGAAGAACTCACACGCTTCATCACCTACTTCGCCAAGCGCCCGATCTCTCCGCCCCGCGTGCTCCCGGAGCTGTACCCTCAACAAAAGGGGTACCACGACCTCGACAATCAACTCAAAGAGTCGGGTCTGTGGTCGTTCGTCTCCAGAAGCCATCAATCCTTCAATCCCGCCTACGTTCGGGCTTTCTACTCCAATCTCCGCCGGGACGGGGACACTATTCGCAGCAGCATCAATCTCGTGGACTTCGAGGTTGATTTGGCTCCCTTTGCCAGGATCGCAGGTTTGCCCACTCGCGGTGACGACATCGCGACTTATGGTGGCGATGATTGGATCCTCAACAACGAGGCGGTGGTCATCCGAGAGCT